TTCTCTGCCCTCTACTGGCTTACAGTGCCGTGCGAAAATTATGCAGAATTCAGTTTTTTTTTTAAATAGTATGTATGTATGTATGTAGGTGTATGCGCATGTGAGTGCATAAATAGTTTTTGTGTTACATTTTCGTGTTTCGTTTTTGAGGCAACAAAATTAATTTACAAATATAGGCGTTTAAATATTTTTTTTTCGTTTTTTTTTTACTTTTATAATATACTTACTACTCTCATCGTACTCGTATATATGTTTAACCACTTCTTGTTTTTAGTTATTCACTTATTACTTACTTTCATTACATATTTTCATTGCTGTATCATCCATTTTAATACGCTACATGCATACACAGTACTATAAATGTCTCTAAGCCTTACGCAATTAGTAGTTAACTGAAGTGTGAATTAATATTTTTTTCGCATTTTCTTCGGCAATTTTTTGCTTATTTTTTAGCTTTCCATATTGTTTACGTTTAGTTGGAGTACTTAACTGGAAATTATTTTAATAGAAATAAAAATATTGTTGTTTTTGTATGTGTGTAAATATGTATATTAAAAAAAAAAAGAAAAATCAACAAAAGTAGTTGCGAAAACAAGTTTCAAAATAAAATAAAAATTTTAAAATTAAAGTTTAGCTACACTGTTCTTTTAAATTTTTATATGTATGTATTTTAAGTTGCAGTTTAATTCTTTAACTATTCTTTATTACTAGCATGACATTCAAAGTGCGCTCCAGTTTGCATGTACTTCCTGTATATAATATCTACTGCAGTGTATTTTGTTGTTGTTAGTAGGTTATATATTTTCAAAGAACCATTTAAATATAACTCCTTTTCAATTACTCATGCATTAAATTTTTCTCTGTTCATTTTAATTATTAACTAATTAATTGCATTACTTCGTACGCTTCTCTTTCTATACAAATTCATTCGTATTTATAATTATTTAACTTATTTTTAGGGTTTTTATATTTGTGGAAATGGAAATAATTTGTTTAACTATAGGTTCTCTACGTTCCATTCCTCGTTTGGTTAAGTCTTAACTTTTTTATTAAATTGTTTCATCAGGTTTTGCCATCAAACAGATCTCTTCGTCTTGTTAGGATTAGTGTTTTATTGATTACTAATTCGGTTATAAATGATAAATAGTACTTCTCGTTTTTATAAATATTCGAGCAATAAATTAATATTGTTATTTTAACGGTGAAGTATTTACTGTTTGTTAATTAAACTCTGTTACTATTGTTTTTGTTGGTATTTATTTATTTAGGTTGAAATTTAAGAACGTTCTTGTATTTTCAAATTAATTTCGTTGATTGTTTCAAATAAGTAGTTGGCTAGAAAAATTATTATTTATTTTTGGTCGCTCAATGGGCGATTTTAAAAGAAAATGCCCTCGCCTCGACAAGCTAAGTGTTTTTTGATAAACATAAGCTCTAGCTGTATCTCCCACTTTGCGAATCTCAGAAGTCTTCTTATAAACACTGATGAACAGCCGATCCACGCCACAGATCTTATTGTGTTCGCTCTCAAAGCATATAAAAAGAATAGAAAGCTATAAAAAGCTTCTTGCGGTATACTTACATACGTACATACATGCATATATTTTGACCTTGACTGTTACGGTCTGAGTTGGCCACATAAGCTTTATACATATTTAACATCGAGCCTTTTCAAGTTTTCTGTCTATTCCATGTAATACATACTGCTTCGAACCAAAACATAATCCCTAAGAGAAGCTCTTTAAAGCTTTCTATAGATTTTTGTAAGTGAACAGAGTGAAAGCTCGTCAATGATAAAAAATCTGTACTTTAGAAAGCTGTTTTATATAAGATATAAAATATACAGATAGCTTAAAAAAGCTTCTTCCATGGGATATGTGTAGGTCGTCACTATTTTTTTTATAGAACAGTGACGGCCACCAGGAAGAGGTTTACATCTGTGCACGTCCCTTGAAAGTGTATAGAAAGCTTCTGGTCGTTATAGTTTGACCAATACTGATCTCAATAGAGAGCGCATAAGTAGCTCTTTGTAGTGTGATTACTATAGAAAAGCTCGCGAGCGAAATCTCGAAACCTTTCTTAAATATTGTGTATCTATCTTTGCGCTCAGAGAAAATGCTTTCTCAGCTGGCAGAGACCTGTTGGCATCTAGAACAGCGATGGGCAGAGAGAGCTTTTACTCTGCACGCCACAATACAAAATATATAGAAAGCCTAAAAGAGCTTTGCCCGCGGGCAAGGCGGTGCCCATCGCCGATCTAGAAGATATATACACATTGAGCCGTCGTTAATCGCCTTGAGCATAAACCAAAGATCAATAGAAATTCAAGGATTAAAAAATTGAGAATCAAGACATTTGGAAATGTGCGGAGCATATAAAATGTCGCGAAAAAAATATTTATAAAAAATCGACAGAAACTCAGCACAATGCTAAAGTGAGAAATGTTATATCTGGAAACTTTGTAAATTTCAGACGGTTATTTTTTGATTAAGTTTTCAAAAAAATTTTATTAATTTTTTTTTTTAATTATAAATTTCTTCTAATTAAGTAGTTGCTATATTTTCGTATTTAATAAATAGTTCCCTTATGCGTTTAGTTATGTTAAATTTCAATTTGTATATAATTTTTCGCCTACGCTTGCAAAAGTCTAAATTCTTTATTAAATTTTTGAAATTTGTTTTTGGTTTAATGCTAAATTTTTAATATGTATTTCTTTGATGTGGCTATTTTCTTGTTGAACGCTTGCTGCACATAATTATAGGAAAATCTGCATCGGTCCATAATTTCTAGCTCTCTTTACTTCCCATTCGGTGTGTAGTGTTGCCACCATTTTCAAAAACGTTTTTCAAGTTGCAGTAAATTCATGCTGTCCTAATACATTTTTTATAGTGTAACTTTTTGTTTGAAATTTAATTAAATTTTTTATTTTATTTTTTCAAATATTTAGTTTTTTGGTATTTTGGAAGTGTTACTGTGTGCGATTTAGTTGACAAAACATTCATTTCTCAGCGCTGTTGCTCGTTTTAAAGTACAGTTTTTGGTTATAATTTTTCCTTTTTTCAAAACTACGTTCCGACAAGGCGGTTTTCTCGGATTTTGTTAATTGATTTTCGCTTTTTACAGTTATTTATTTATACATAAGTAGCTAGTCGCTTGGTATGCATTTTGCTGCACATATCGAACAGCGTTAGTGTTACTTTCTGCCAAACATTTTGTGCTATTCTGCTTTTTTCAAAAGTATAATTTTTTCTATTAGATATTTTGTTTAGTTTTTTTTCTCAAGCATGTTCATTACTATTTCTGCATATTTAGCGGATTAAATTGTTTTGCTATTTAATTTAATTTTTTTTCCATTATTACTTATGCCAGCTGCTTATTGTCTCATTTATTAATTTTCTGCAACAAAACTTGCATTCAATATTTTTTTGTTTTGTGTTTAAAATTAACTTCGTCGCATCCAGAAAATGTTCTCGTTTATGTTATATTAAAACATGTTCATATGTATTTCGCTTGTGTATGTGTGTGCTCACAACATTCGTGCGATTCGTGTACCAGTACATACGCGTGAGCTTGGTGCTGAGGGTGTCGTGTTGAGTGTTTCGTGAGATATTTTTCGTGTGAGCCTGGCAACGCTGTGATTACAAAATTTACCATATTTTTTCTTTAAATATCTATAAGATATAATAGTTTTGCAACATGTAAATTTAAATATATATATTTTTTTTTCAATTTCAATTTCTACATGTTTCAGTACAAATCTTAAACGACAACTATTTTTTCAACGTATTGAATTTTTCTTTTTATCAAAGATTGTTTTTCCAGCGTCTGAGTAACTATGAAATTCATTTCTATTTGTCTTCTCCAGTATTAAATTAGTCATTCTTTTTCGAGCTTTAGGAACTTTCCTAAAGCTGCTTTCCAACCAAAATACAATTTTCAAACTTTCATACGAAAAACAGTTTCCAACAGTGTTTGTAAGAGCTTTCACTAATAAAGAGCTTTAAAACTCTTATGAAAGGAATCAGAGGGCGAATCTCTAAAAACTCCTGAAAGCTTCCGAGAAAGCTTCTTTTGAAACTCGCAGATTTCAGGTTTGCACAATCATTGATATTTTAGGCAATTTAACTTTACTAATTTGAATTGATCTTAACTCACACAAAACTCTAAAACTGGGAAAAATTTCTGTACTAAGATTCCAACGCAAGCTCTGTTAATGTGCTTTTGCGCTTCAGTATTTGTTTAAAAGATGAGGAATCACTCATTTAAGCTATAGAAAGGCAAGAAAAAAACTATTTAGCACCCACCCTTCTTAAGTATGTAGTGCTTTCACTGCGAAACGATATTTGTGAAAGCTCCATCTTCAGACCCCATGTTGTTCAAAAAGTTCATATCGATATTCTATTAGATTTCCGTGGAAAGTATTACCTATACTTTAAAATTGAGATGCAAGCATTTCACGGCTAAGTTCGTTTGAGAAATTTCCAGCCAGAAAACTACTTGTGGACTTCTCCAAACCGGCACTTACGCAAAGCTACACCCTAAGAGGGAGTCGAAATTTTGTTAAAGCTTGCTTTCAACTTAACATGTCATTTGAAAGCTTCTGTGGCTATTGAACAGGTACTAAGCATCTTTTAAACCTTCAAAAATTCTTAGTAAATTTTTCCGGTCGGTTAAAAAGTCCTTTTAAAGCTTTCCATTGAAATATCAGATCACGATTCCAGATTTGTGTTGAATCTTACACGCTAAAGTAACTGCCATACCTAAACAAAAGCGTTGGGCGGAGCGGTTTTTGACGCCTAGCGTTAGCGCCGAAGTGCCATGCCTAAACAAAAGCGTCAACGCTACGTCAAATGCAGAAATAACACCAACAATAAGCATAGGTTTGTTTGTGTGTAACATGAAAATGACAGTTTTGCCATTTTCTGCAGCCAACTTCAATACCTAACGCCCTGTCAAAATCGGATTTTCCAACCGCTCAGCATTGACGCCGCGTTGTTTCGGTATGCTTCATACAAATTGTATGGGCATGAGAATTTTTTGACAGCCAGACAACGCTGACGCTTTTGTTTAGGTATGACAGTTATCGACTAAGAGCGGCTTTTCTTCGATTACGCGTGTCGCCTTCCTCCACGCCTTTGCCTCAAGCTCATCATGCGCTTCCTTTCCTTATTTATCTTGACCTTTGCTAGCCGTATCGATTCGGGTAATGTCGCCGTCGCTGAGGTGGGCAGATAACCGCTTACGATGGTCAGCCGACTGTTGCGCGTCGCGTCGGTCGCTATGCGCTCGGTAGAATGTTGTTCTGCCAACTCGCCAGAGTCCTCCATTAGGTCTGGATAGACGCTGATGTTGTCAATATTGTCGATGTCAATGTCGCCAGCGTTGTTCCGCACATAGGTCAGTTGGTGAAAAGGTGTGGCCAGCAGCTTTTGCGTCGATATGCGTATCGCCTTCTTCGTGGTGGTCGCTGCTGCGACGGCAGCTGTCGAAGTTGGCGTTTCGCTGGTCGTCGCAGTTGAGCTGGCTGGCGCGGCTGATAAAGTTAATGGGATGAGTGTGTTGGCTGTTGGTGGATGTGCCAAGTGATTGCTGTTGCCGTCAAAGTGCTGTAGTTGCAACGGATTGTTGAGCGGCGAGATGGTTTTGTTTCCCAGTAATTGTTTCATCGGATAGATGTGCTGCTGCGATGTCGTTGTCATTGTTTTCGATGGAGTTGTACTATTCGTTGCACCTACTGCCGTCTTTATTGTTGTTTTAGCTGCGGCACGTGATGTTGCCATTGTGCTGCTGTACCCTTGTGCTATGCCTGCTGCTGGTGTTTGCAACTTGTTGCTGTTGATGTACAACTTGCTGCCCTGTCGGTGCAACTTTCCCTCACCACCCAAGTATTTCTTGCTGTAGCTAAGGCTGGATTCGCTGGCCACTAGCGTCTGCAGCGGTTCCTGGGACACTGATTCAGCAACTACGCTTTCGCCGCTTCTGTTTATCTGTCTGCGCTTACTCTCATTCCTTTGCTTGCTGACCTTGTGCCAGGCGTAATCGGCGCTCGCGCTAGGCGACAATTCAGCGAAGCCCTTATCCCAAAAATTGCTGCCACTATGATTCATATGTTGCTGCCACCACGCTGCGCGATCGTCTAATAGGAGCTCGGTTTCTGTGGCTTCTGTTGCTGGTCGCGCAGTGAGCGCAACTGCTTCATCTGAGTATTCGTCTCCACGTCGCGGTTTCCAAGCGTATTTGTTATTGCTTCTACTGCTGCTGGTCGCCAGAAATTGATTGTACAAAAGTGTAGCTATGCTGGCAGCAATGCTGGATGGTCTCTTCCGCTTCTGGCTGACGCCCATTTTGTTATTTTCCTGCTCGTTTACCGCCATGTGGACGTCTCGGTGTTCAACAGTTGTTATCATTGTGGCAGCAACATCTGCCAGGTCTTCAGTGAAGGCGCCGTCGCTGCTGCTGCTGCTACTTTCCAATTCGGTTTCACTAGAGGTAGAATTCATTGTTGCATACAAATCAGCGTCATTAGCAGTTTGCGTTTCCACTGTGGCATTGACGTCGTCTGGTAAAGTCGCTGTAGCTGCATCGCTTACGGTCTCTAAAGCTGCTGTGGGCGCTGGAAAGATTGTTTCAGCAACATCACTATCGCTTACTGCTGCCGCTTCTGTGCCCACGGTTGCTGGTGACCAGCTGTGATCGCTGCTTTCGGTCAACATTGTCGACGTGGATGCCACATCTTGCTCTTCCGATGCTGACCCCGCCCCATTGAGTTTTGTATAGTGTTGTGGTTGGGAATTAATACTGTTTAGTTGATTGTCTGCTGCTGAGGTTGGCTCCGGCGACATGTTGCTGTCGTCCATCTCAGCAAGCAGTGTAGAGTTGAGTGCCTCATCTGCCCACGCCCCGCTGGTAAAATCGGTGAAGTTGCTATAGTCGCTTGTAGGCGTGAGCGAGGAAAAGCCGTCAGTAACATCGGTTGTTGACGCCGAATACGCAATTGACGACACCGATGACGACAACAACGATGGAGATGAGGCTGTGTAGGCATCCAGTGGACTTGCCGCTGCTGTGCTGGCGAATGTAGTTGGCGAAGATAACCACTCGCCGCTGTAATCGCCGTTTGTTGTTGCCGACGAAATGCTGCTTACACCATCTGCCAGCGCTTGCGAAGTGGACGACGAGAAGAGCGGTGGCGTCGGCGACTCATTCCACCACCATGTGGTTTGCGTTGGCGAGGCGTCGTCCTGCCGCGTTTGCTGCGGACGCGCACGTAGTGGCAACATTTGCTGCTCTAGCTTCTGCTGCTGTTTCTTCTGCTTCCTTACTTTTCTTCGTCGGCCCTTGCGTTTATTCGCAATTGTAGTTGTTTTCATAGTTGTTGTAGTTGCAGTCGGGCCCTGCTCAGCAGAATTTATCGCCGTTGCAGTTTGTTGCCCAACTGCCTGCTCGTCAACGCTTTTATTGCGCTTGCGCTCCTTCCAACCGCCGCCCACTGCTGCTGCCGTCGCAGTCACTCCGAAAGCAGCTTGCGTTGTTGCTGATGCATGCTCCTGCGCTGCTGTTGTTGTTGTTGCTGCTGCTGCTGCTGGACTAGTTATTTTGCCGCTGCGCAGACGCAGGCGCAGCTGCTGCTGTCGCTGATGCTGCCGACGCTTCTGCTTGTGCTCATGTTGGTGGCGGCGCGCAATCAAATTTGGATCGTTGTGGTGATGCCGCACTTGATGCTGCTGCTGCTGCTGTTGGCGAACATGCTCACGTGTACGGCTGTTGCTGTTGTTGTGATGCTTTTGCTGACTTACAACTACTTGATGTTGCTGCTGCTGACTATTACTAACTAAATTACTACTATTGTTGTTGTGGTGGCTACTGCTCTGGTTATTGTTGCTATTGCTGCTTAAATTGCTACTATGGCCATAAGTGTACTCTTCATTTTGGTCGTTATTGTTGTTGCTGCTATTGCCGCGCATCTCATTCACTCGCTTATTTTTGTTGTTACTGCGATTACGCGATATCTTATTGCTGCTGCGTTGCGACGCTGTTGCAGTTGCAGTTGCAGTTGCGGTGGCTGTTGCGGTTGCCGCCGCCGAGAGCGCCGCCCGCTGTGACGACAATCTTGCTGAGGCCCCCGATGTCGTATGCGTATGCGTTGTTGCTGTTGTTTGTAAGCCGCTGATGTTTTTGGTGTTCTTCGCTCTCGGTGCAAAATAGTTGGTGTGCTGATGGAAAAACTGATCGGCCTGTATCTTTGTGAACAAATAGCAGGCATCGTTGACATTCTTCTTCGGCCCGACCGCCTTACCTCGGTGCGTGAAGCCGACACGTCGCTGCAGATCGACTACGGAACGAAACACGAAATAACCGTGTACGATGGTTTCGTTGAAGTAGCAGGTGTCGCGCAGTTCTTTCTGCAATGGAAAAGATACAAATGAATTAAAGAAAAATTTTGATTATTTCAACTTAAGAAGTACTACAATAGCCTAGCTGCCCTGTGCGTTGCGGCTGTGTTGAGAAAAGAATCCTTCGCCTACTCTGGAATGCTTTCATTTTGGCTCGTCTGCCCTAAATTGTAGGAATGTATCAATTGCATAGTGTTGGTACTGAATAACTACAAGATCTTCGATTCTAACTTTTTCGAATCACTCTTATTTCGCCCGAAATGTATTTTTAGTAACTCTCGATTGTTTTGAGAATCTATTTTTTGTTTTGGCCACTTTGCACCTACTTTGATTGATTTTTAATTGCGCTCTTGTCTGTGTTTCAAGTACTTTATTATAAATATTTGTGTTTCTTTTTTGTAAACTCTTGCGCACGCGAGTTTGCTATTTACGTCAATTGCACGCACGCGCATGCCCTTCAGAGCGTCAAACTTCACAGTCAATGACTCCAAGTGCATTTGAACTGGATTTAAAAATAGATTTTTGTGGAGTTGTTGTAGCGACTGGAGATTTTTAAAACGATTAACTCGTTTGCTGGAAGAATGTCATAATCCAAAACAATCCAAAATTCAGTTTTTTTAAATCGCATCGACCCTCTGAATCCTTTCTACATACTATCTATGCATTTATTCTTTCCGAAAAAATTAGGTTGGGTTGCGAGGAGCAAAAGTTAAATTAAGTGCTCAAACTTCTAAATATTTGGAAATAAAATGATATCATTTCCACTTTTCCACCATTTACGCATGTAGATTCACTTGTTTTGTTTACACAACACTTAAAATGCAAGCCTGCAACTCGTTGCCACCAATTACAATGTACGAATATGAGCCAACTGAGTGTCAATGGTGCTGCACATGCGCAACGTATTTCCTTGACGTCTGTTGCATGCCTGCTGCTCATGTTCTCTCTAGCTATTTCCACGCACAAAAACAAGAATAAGAAAAAAGGAAACAATAAAAACCGTTGTCTGCTCTTAGTTAATGTAAACATTGGCGAGTAATTTATTGTCAATAGAACAACAAAGTGTTTTTTGTAGTTTTCAATTCCGGAAGAAGTAGCCAAAGAGCTGGGAAAATAAGAAAACAAAAAAGTAACTCGTAGACTGTACCAGAAAAAATTCCCCCTGAGGCTAATCATTTTTCGTCATATCTTCAGCATTTACAGTCAGATCTCAAAATATGATGTATCGTAGTTCTTTTCTCGAGGAGATTTTTTTATTCCAACGTTCATTGACTTCAACTAGCCCGTTTTAGTACTTACGCACCAGATCTCGGTTCCTACCATCCTGATGACTTTTGCAAAGGAAGTTTTTTGATTATTTCCGTAGAACTATAATGTTTTTTTTTTATTGCAGTTGTTACCAAAAAAGTATATTTTTTTGTCGAAATTGAATTGCTCGTGGTAGTCCTTAAAAAATCTCAACTATGCGGAGTTTTCTCAAAGGGCCTGGATATTTCTTTATAGAAGCAGACTCTTGTAGATCTTTTGGGGAATTATGAATTTCCCTGGTAATCGGGTCATGGTTCGACATTTCTCTGCTTAGACTGAAGATATAAATGATTTTTACTAAAACTATTGAGGCTTTTTTCACCTCAAATCGTGCAGCCCGTTTTCGGCTTTTCTTGACGAACTTGAAAATTTGTAACTTCTTGCTTAGTATTTACCACGATGATAGCAGTTATTTGACGTTGTTTTTATCCCCATAGCTAGTTGGGATAACTACGTTGATGCGTTGCTTGCAGTGCTTGCTGGTAACTGCGTATAGTATTGTTAGGATATTTTAGGGAAATAAGTTTTCATCTATTTTCATCCTAGATTGCTTGCTTAAACCATTTTGATTGCCTGAAGAAAATATGAAACTCCTTTGCTTAAAGTAGCACCTGATATATCCGCTAGTTCTATTACTGTGTGTCTTCTTATTGTTTTATAGCTATTAGACACACTGGAACTCTTGGACACTTGCTTCGATATATTTTAGCCAGCAGCTGCGGCAAGCTCTAGTATAGGAAGGTTCTATGAAGCCTCATGGTTGCTTCTCCCCTGAAAACTTCTGTCCTTGATCTGTTAAGCAGATCCGAGGTCTTCGTCCTCCTGCTCTTGCCGATTTAATTGCCTTCACACGGAGACGCTCGGTCTATTTCCTTTTGCAACTCCTGACCATCTTAAAATTTCTAACCGGTTTTGTTATTGTTAATAATGGCGCATTGCTGTTAGAATATATTGTTGCTTTTTTCATCCGTTATTACTTTACTTCAAAGATATGGCGTTCCATCTTGGATCCTACTTTATCCGCCACTCCATTCTCTTGTAGTTGGGAATCGCTCTGCCATGAAATTCTTGAATTTATGATTGGCGTCATATAACTTGTCGTATTTCTTAATTACATTTCGTAAATGAGCAGCCTGCACCCATAGTTTGCTGTCCCTACAGCAATGACTGTCTGAGTCTAACTGCCACTGCGTTCAGGTAAAGATCGATAGGTTCAGGATAGTTTTTAGCGCTTTTTTCGGAAGGAATTTTAGCACATCTGCTGTTAAGTAACTACATATTGTTTGTTTAGGTCAGGCCACCAAACCAGGATTAGTCTTATGACAGCGCTATTCCTCACAGTTTCGTGGTACAACTTTGTGGGAGGTCGACAAAGTAGCTTGAGCTTTTATTGATTGCTGATCAGCTATACACGTAACTCCATTCCTACCTGAATGATTCTAAATGTTACATATCTACGATCGACCGTATTCATCTGCAAAAACCCTTTGTCACCCATCATTTCCTTTGCTGAAGAGATACCATTATGTTGAGTTCACTGATGCCAAGTGAGTTAGAAAAATTTATAAAGTCTGTCATATTTTCATCAATACCGTTTCAAAGTGCTAAAGGACATTTAAATGAAATGGAACTCGTTTCAAAGTTTTGTTTACCATCCTTTTTACAGAGAACAAAGTACAATTACCACTAACAAAATGTATCAAAATGCACCTAATCCAACTATTCGATATTTATTAACTGTGGTTACTTATACGAGTATAAATGTTTGCATGAATATGCAATTGAACAATTCCTAATGACAAAATTTGTTTTGATTATCTATTATATTTTGATTGCTTGAAGTGGCGAGTGATTGAATCGTAATGAAATTGACAGTGGTTGTTTGTTTTTACAAATATTTTATGACTAAGTGTTTTGTTATGCATTTGGGTAAATACTAGCAAACATTTATGCATTTACATATATGTATATAGCGTTGCATAAATCCCCTCCATTGCTGACAAGCATGTTTGTCATTTATGTAGATATGAGGTGGCTTTTCGTAGGTGTGCTTCGACGCATTTTAAAGTACCTACCTCCGCTGCAAATAAATATGCACAAGTACTCTCTGAGCTTCTAGCTTAAGTAGCCATTCACAATAGAGCACTTGATTACATGCATGTATTTGTTATAGAAGAATTCTATTTGTGCAGCTGCAAAAAATAGCCAGCAATTTGTTACTTGTTGCGATTTTTCATTAACAATCTGAAAATATATGTCATAGTCAACAGTGCTTACAAGGCTAAAGTGGATCTAAAGTTTATCGCGAATTGGCTGTATGTATGTACATATGTATGTAGATATGAAAAAATACATAACTTGCGTCAAGTGTCATTGTTGTTAGAGACACCTAGCTCCTTAGCAGTGACCTAGATTTAATACAGAGAAAAACAAATAGCGTTTTAATAAATATTCAGATAAATGAGTTAGTTTTTGACATTGAACATTTGTTGAACATCTTGATAAATTCTTTACTTATTAAAATCTTGGATGTTGTTTCAAAAAATCGCGCGCATGATTTTTTAATCATACTCCGTCACGGAAATTTTCTGTGGTTGCATCGAAGGTGGTTTCGAAACTGCGAGGCTACGGAAGATTCTCTTCAGATCTCCGAAGCCTAGATCTCCAAGAGGTAAAAAAAACCCTTGATGGTAAATGCCCACTTTACTGGGACATAGCAGGAGGGAAATACCCCTTTTATTCCTTCCTACACCGTGAACATACCCGTCTCGGAAGAAAGGGTTAAATGGGAAGCCCCAAGCTATAAACCATATAGAACTACAGGACCGGACGGGATAATAGATACCTGCACAACTAATTAAGACACTGGAGTTGTCTGCGAAATGGCTGTGAAGTTTTTTCAAGGCCTGTTTCAAGCGTAATCGTATACCGGCGGCATGGAGAAATGTTAAGGTTTTCTTTATCCCAAAAGCCAGAAAAGCTTCACATATTAATTCCAAGGATCTTAGGTCCATCACTCTTTCCTTCTTTGCTCTTAATACACTTGAAAGGATTGTTAGCAGCTTCCTTTCTAACAACATCGACAGTCGTCTAAAGGCAAAGCTGCGGAGATCGCATATCATAGCTTGGTCGATGATATCGGGAAGTATGTCAGTGTTAAACACACCTGTTTCGTAGCTTTTTTGGATATTGAAGGTGCGTTGAACAACGTATGTACTTTCAAAGGCTATTATTGACGTCACGATGGCTCTAGGCGTGGTTAACTCACTGGTGGAGTTTATCGGTCAGCTATTCTGCCGTGGAGTAGTGAAGGGGTGGCGAATGTGGAGGTCTTCCTCTTTACTAGAAGGTAGAAAATATCTTCAGTTACTCCACCGGAGCTAAACGGCAGGACAGCAGATAGCAGCGCTCGTTGTTCTTCGCTGAAGAGAGGCATTCCATTGGCATCCTGAAGCCCATCGACACTCTTGTATATTAGATAAATGTTGCTTCATTCCGAACAGTACAGACCGTAGCGACTCCGGAAAGTAACTTGAGCACAAGAAACCCAACCAGGGAGGAGTGGAAAGAACATGTTAACATTCCACCTGATAGTACTGACATCTATACAGATGGCACGAAATCCGACGATAAGGTGAGAGGAGGCGGTTTCTCACGAAACCCTCCTCTGAAAATCTATCTTAGGTTAGCAGACTACTGCGGCGTATTCCAAGCTGAAGCTACTGTTACCATGGAAGCTGCTGAGGATCTTGGAAAACAAATGATGGAAAGAGACGTCTTCATTTTTTGTGATAGCCAGTCTGCAATGGTATTGCTGATCTCTTTCCCGTTTTACTCAAAGTTAGCACTGCATACGTGGCCTAAATCGGATCGGAAGCGATCACGAAAAGTATACTCTTTTAGAAGAGAGAATATATCTAACGTTGTGGCGGTAGCCCCTACTTCCTACCTACATACCTACCTGAATGATTTGCTTTTCGAATCGCAATACCGAGTGGACCCCCCGGTGGTACCAAGTTAGAACTTTTGCATTGCGTTAAAACAGGCAAAATGTACACTTGCAGCTAACCTAAACAAAAATTAAAATTACAACTTTCGCACTAAAAGTGCGGATTTGCCTCTTCAACCAAATAAAAGTGTCTTAAACTGAATTACTTCCAAGACTTTTTTATTTCAAATATTGACTTTTATACCCAAAGAAACCCTCAAAAATATTTAGTTTTAAATACATACTCGCATTGAAGCTATAAAAGACCAGTTTCGCAGAAAAATATTTGGGTCAACCATGGCGTATGAGTACTTTGCTCACAAAGCGGATTTTCTGACAACACCAAAGCGGTAAAAAAAAACTTAAATTTAATAAACAATTAAATTTCCGGCGGCTTTTGCACAAAGCCAGCATTTGCTTTCAAACAGATTAAAGTCATAAAAGTGACATCACAAAATGTGTTGGGGAAAAAAGCAAATGAAGCGCACAAAAGCCGACTACAATGAATGGCACCACTTATCTAATGACTATACGCGAGTAATCATAATAAAATTAAGGTATGCAAATAAATGCAATAAACTCATTGCACTACAATACACTTTACAAATATATAAAGTATGAAAAAATATTAAGAAAAAAAAAACAAAACCTACGCCGCTTTTGTACGCAGGCACGTACGTGCGCGTACATATTTGTTTACATATTTGACTTATCCCATTCTGATGAATGAATTTCAAAGTGCTGTGGGTGCGACTCGCCTGTTGGTGCCACACGCTCGCGCGCGCCCCTGCACTCATTGTTAGATACATAAACAAACAAACAAATAAATACAGACACTCACTCATACACGCCTACATATGTAAATACATTTGTATTTGTGTGTACACATCTTGTGCTGCAAAGCTTTTCTGCTTTTATACTCCAGTTATTTGCATTGTTGTATTGACAATATTTGACACTTTACATGAGCACTAATTGATCGCGCGCGAGCAGAATTCAAGAAAAAAAACATTTCTCACCTGGGCAAGGTGTGTGTGTGTGTGCGCGCGAGCACGAAGGGCAAAAAGCACACTATTGCCCAAATAGTGAACTCTAGTATAGTAAATAGTTGTGTGAATAGAATACACATGTCTTTATATGTCCTGTCTATGGGGTCGAGACTACAAGTTGTCAACATCATTGATGGAATGAGCACAACTCGAAAGTCAACAACAATAAGTGTCACTACTGTTTTGCGCAAGCGCGCTTAAAGTACCAAATCCAATCCGGATCAATTCATTCGAAGTTACACTCATTCACAAAAACCATTTTTTTAAGTTAAGCTCTAACGTCTGTGGCGCATTGGCTCGAGCCTGTCTGCTGCAACATTGTCACACAAACTTGATAGGTACTCATGAGCAGCCATGCACCAGCGAATACCTCGCGCACTCATACGCAGACCAGCTATGTATCAGTATCTAATAAGTAATTCTGCTGTCACTCAGCTACCAATTGTCACTTAGCTATTGTCAACTAGCGTTAGTCATTTCAGTATTGCCACACGACGACGACGAAAATTGTCACATAAAAATTATCATGTCAATGCAATTAGTTAAAAAATTATATACATATAGGTATGTACAAGCATATAGAAAAAAAATTGTGCGAGCATTTGCCCATGCGTGTGGGCGGTACGTTTTTCTATATCGGCTTTGTTGCCACAAATTCTAATTAATGTTTAAAGTGTATGCTAGTGGGGACAAACACACCAGCCAGCGCTCATTCGACGAAAACTCACCGCTACAATGTTGCAAGTTGACTTATGGCTTTACCTAAGGCGCTTATAGTTAATAAAGAAAATCGAATTGGCTTTTAATTTGCAATAAACTGTAGGCAAAACAAATTTCTGATTTATTTATTTTTTATTTAAATAAGTAACTACTTATTTGTGGACTCATTTTTAGCATAAAATGTACGGAGCGAGTTTACACACGCTCATTGATTTAGGGTGATTCAAGAGTGATGCAGTTCTTTGACAGCAATTATTTGTGATATTTTAATGACTTTACTACAGGCTTTGGCAAACTTAGACATGGAGCGATATTCAGTTGAACAAGTTAAAGCTTAAAAGTGATCCAAACGTTTTATGAAAATGGTGTTTCTGCAAAAACTATATATATTTCGCGAATTGCGTGATTTTTGAATAAGAGGGAGTTGATGCCGATTTTTAAAAACTAAAAAGTTATCATCGTTTCGACAAATTCTGTTGTTTTATTTATATAAGAATATCTACGGTCTTATTGAGTCACTCTGTAAATATGTTATATTATGTACGTATAGTGTATGTTATGAGTAACCTCTTTTATAACGGTTTGCAAAATTCATTTCGCTGAAAACTTTTTCAACTAGATGGTAGCTTTAGCAGACATACGGATCAATCCCTGATTCGATACCGCCCGGGTAAAATTATGGCAAGCCTTGAGGATAAGAAAAGTAAGAATATGCACAGTCGATTTCTGCCTTTATTTAACCCTTTGCCTAAGGTGTTCATCAGGTGATTTGTTCGGCTATCATACCAAGCAACATCCAGTAGTTCGGAACTGTTTCGAAGTTCATATTAATCATTTTGATCGAGTAATTGTGGTAGGTTGTGCAGAGTGTGAGTTATTTCTGTTGAGTTGTTGTGAGTTGTCTGTAAGGCGAAATTATGCTTGCAATACTAGCTGCTCAACGCAGACTCCCAATTGAATCAATTGCTATGTGCCCAAATATAGTCGGCAGATCGAGGAATTACAGATTTGTGCGGTTACCCTCCTTTGGATACCTCTCAACGATGAATCAAATGCTTTATGATTCTTAATAATTATAGAAAATAATGATAGATTGGCGCTTACAGCACATGCTAGTGGTTGGCCCAGCTTCTGATGTTGTCACACAAAGCTACTGATATTGTCACATAAAGGGGAGGGATCTACAGTTTTACGCCGACTCCAAACGGCGACTGTATTTTTATGAGAATCAGTTTTTCATGGCAGAATACGCTCGGAGGTTTTAAATAAAAAATCTAAATCTAAAAACTGTGGACGTTAAGGGCGTTTTTTTGAACACAACCGGCTTATACCGTCGAATTTGGGCAAAATTTTCATATGTAGGCATTTTATCTTAAATATTAACGAATTCTCATTGAGCTTACCATTCCAACTAGTTTCCACTGATCGTTGAAACACAGGTACCGTTGTGTTTCTTTTGCGTACAGTGCTATTTTGAGATTGTTGTTCACATAGTCCGGAAGGCCGACTATCGTTATATTTTCTGAAAATAAAATAAAAACCCAGTTTTTTTTTACTTACTTAGAACATGTGGAATATAATAATAATGGCAAATTTATGTATAAGTAAAATAATAATATTACACTGAGATGGAATAGTCCAGCGGAAATTTAATAAATACGCTACTAGTTAAGACATGCTGGCAACTTTTATATGCCTAAAGCATTTAATATACATATGTATGTAGTCCCCACAGCATACCCAAATTGCCACAAATCTGCCCAAGACCACTGCAAACTATTTTTTGGTTGAAATAAATTGAGAACTCCCTGCATTTCTCTCCAAAACAAAGACAAACAAAAACACAAAGCCATACGAACAATTATATAAATGCCTTTTTTATTTATTTATGCGCCATTCGCCGGTTGTTTGTTGCGCATGCGTAACGTCGCTAAGCTTCCCACCATCTTGATCGCACGTTTGCAGTCGCTTTCGATTTATTTGTATGCCCACTTATTTCAGTTGCGGCGACGAAGTAACTGAGTGCCTGGTAGTTTGTCAATATTTACAATACCTTTCTATTTCCTCGATCTTTGATTTGATCTACGTAACTTTCATTTTATGTATTTGAGCAGTACTCTTCGGGAAGCGAGAAAGTTTTGAATTTGTTCTTTATAGGCAAATTTCGCTTAAACCAATAAATTATAATCATGCCTAAAAAATTAGACCTCTTTGAGGACCCAACGTCTGAAAATATCACTATCAAAGTTTTGTTTACCTTGAAATCCAACCGAGAATGAACCACTCTTACCAGTGCTACTATGGATTGAGTGGGCAATTGGGAAGTAAAGTCCTCTCTCGTCGTACAAAAATCAATCTCTATTATTTACTTCATAATGCCCGTGCTGGTGTATGGCGCAGAAGCATGGACAATGAAAAAAAAACTCATGAGGGGACTCTTTTAGTTGTCGAAAGAAAGATTTTGCGAACAATTTTCTGTCCCTGGCGCTTTGGCGATGGCGAATATCGTAGACAATGGAACGATGAGCTGTTCGACCTTTACAGCGTTATAGACTTAGCGAATTAAAATAAGTACAGCGGCTACGCTAGCCTGGTCAATCCTTACGGATGGAATCTCAGCGCCGAAAGTAATCAATGCGGAATAAATCTCTGTCTAGATATTCCAGCGAAATCTTGTGCCATTTCATGTTCATTTTCCAAAATTTTTCATTAAGAATTCGCTACACTTCTCAAGTCTCCTCCCTTGGCGATTCTTGCACCTCATTGACAATTTGTAGAATGGCGTCATATCCTCATATGCAGTGGATTTATGTGCTGCCTGACATGCCACTTAAATGGGCAAATATGTTCTCAAGTTATGTATGAGATACTATAACCTGCAGATGGGAATGAGTGAGAGTGCGCCAACACCCGCACGAATAAAAAAATCCGCAGCAAACGATAAAAGGCAACAACTTGTAAGCTTCAACTAGAACTCGAACTCAGACTTGGACTGGATACCTGCAGAAGACAAAGCGGAGACCAAATGACACTAGTACAAGCCATGTATGGCTGCAATGCGAAGGGTGTAAAAGTAACACTAAACAACAGCGGGAGTTTGGCGCATAAAACCACTTCACTTTTAAAGAGCTACCACCTAAAAAGTGACGCATCGCTGCCAACTGACGCTGACGAACTGCCGACGAGGCTGTAACATGCATAGATTGTGACTGTCGACCACGATGGCAAGAAGCCGCAGTTGCGATGTGGAGTACCTATTGTCGGCGATCTAAAGCAGTCAGTAAGTCAATCAATCCCAAAGGCAGCTTGCCAGCCAGCTAGTCAGCAAGTCAAGCAGCCCAGCGCTCAAGTGGAATATGCCCTCCTTGAAAATTGTGCAAACGTGCAACAATAATAATGCCAGCGCCTTCGACTTTGCCGTTGCAACATTCATAAATAACGTCAACCGAACGGGGTATTGCTATTTTCCAATACGTATTTAGTTACATACGTACATACATATGTATATCCACACAAACTGGCAGTCGCCTACATGTGCACATATGCAGAATAAATTTCTTTTGAAATATGAGCTCACTGATTGTTGGAAAATATGAAATAAAAAGCCTACTGTAGTTAGTGCAATGCGCATAAATTTAATTACCACCACTGGTCGCCGAAGCCACAGCAGCAGCAGCAGCAGCAGCAAGCTGTAGGGCGCTCTAGCCATCAGGCAGCCAAAGGCTGTCTGTCGGTCGGACTAGCGCTCTGGCTAGGTGCTTGTGATAGCGCCTTTTGCTGCGGCAAGCACTTCGTTGTTCACGCCGTACGGCAGCCAAGCTTCTGACAGTTGAGGGCCGCAAGCACTCGTCGCACGCCTGGAAGCTCAGTGAACTTGCAACACAACTTGAAAGTTGCTCTTGTTATGCCACAAGTACGCCTGTAATAATAATTTGCGCAACAACTAAAAAAATATCAAACAAAAAAAAACAACTCACGAAAGAAGAAGAGTCTTTGCGTAAAATGCAAAATTTTTCAAACCAAATAAAATAAAATAAGTTACATATTGAAACAATAACAAAAGAGTAACCACATCGTGCGCTCAACACTCGTGTGTTTCTCGTGCTTGCTTTAGCTGCAGGCTGCTTGGCTTTGCGCCGCTGCTTCAAATTTGGCTTGCTTGCTTGCTCCGGTGGATGGGTGGATGGTTGGCTGGTCTGTGTATTGAACCTGGTAGTCACCTATCAATCTATCTCAAGTGCTTTTTCAAGTGCTTCACTTATTGGAGTGTGGTTGTTGGTCGCCGCTGGCTCATCACTTGTTGGCGGCCGCTGGTAAGGTTCTCGTGGTCTTGCGTTTGCTTGCTGATGACTTTCTGCTTCCTATAGCTATAGTATTGCTATATTTATTAATAACATTGTTTTTACTTTTGTTTATTTTTTACTCATTTATTTATCTTATTGTGTGTGCGCCACCAGTCGCTGGCGTTTGCAACTGAGCCAAAACGTCGCGCGAAGTTCAATACCCCACTTGAGTCGTTGAATAAGAAGAAGACAAAAAAAAACACAATAAACAAACAATGTAGCTTGTTATGGAGCACCTTCACCACCTTCGTCACCTACACTAGGCAAACGGTGGAACAAAAGTGGCGAAAAACCGTTATATTCCTAAATTAGCACCGTAAGCCATGTAAGGCCTTTTTCAATTGTGCTTTTCAATGTAAATGTGTGAATATGAGTAAAAGTTTCGATAACGGTATCGATAAATATATAGATAAGAACGTTAATTGTATTGATTACAACGTAATTGTATTGATTATTGTTCAAAGTACCGATAGTAATATCGATAACAATATTGATAAGTTTATCGATAGAGAGATTAACAGATAAAAATGCTTTATCTAGGTAAAGGGCGATAGAAAAAATACTCTGCCAATCGTCGAGCGGAGATCTGAACTTCAAAGTGTTCGCGTTGAACACGCACACGTACCGAATGAGAGAGAGAGAGAGAGCTGACAGCGGCCGCCAAAAAGGCAGTGGCGGCTATTGTGAGCAACGGTAACTCCAGTCCATATTAGGTGACACTCGTCGGTGACGGTAACTGGTGTACATATCGGTAGGCGATCAGTAGATGTATGGGAAGATCGCTCCGTGGCTTCTGACAATGGTGCCAGAAGAACGGATGGCAGCCATGCTATTTTGACGGAGTCTGATCCAAGGGATAGCGGTGTTTATTGATTGCGTTTAAGGGGTGGTTTTACGAGGTCGTTAGTGTCATTCGAGAACTTTCCTATTCGGGACATAAGTACGTTGGTATGTCAGAGTCGAGTCTGGACAGGTGGGAGTTTTACCTACTATCATATCCCATTTGCGCCGGTGTATTGCACGAGGGCGTCAGGCGAGGTTTTTAATTGGCTGTCTGTACATCACCGGGTGCAGTAGTTATCCTCAGTAGTCCTGGTTCTCGTCTTGTTGTTGGCGACTTCAGAAGACATCCCGTAGCAGAATATGTAGCTTCGTCCACTGCGTACTGCTAATCCTCGTTGATTTAACTGGCGCAGAATACGTATTTCAGAACTGGTCCTCACATTGTCATGTATGTAGCCAACAACGTCTCTTGGCTTTTGCCCTAACTGCTTCCGGCGAGAAATTAGAGGACTTTGGTGTGGCTCACGATTGAGAGAATACAAAGGTTGCGCCGATCTCGGACCGCTATTCCTCTCTTAACGAATTTGACAGAATCGTTGTTTGCATGACGTCACACTTGTGCAACTTGTTTACGTTTTCCTTGCAACATTTTTTCTTCTTCTTCCATTCTTGCTCACGTTTTGGCATTTCTCTCTCGCAATTGCACCAGTGTGACGTCACACAAAAGTTATTCTCAAAAATCCTCTCTGATCGGCGCAATCTTGTATTCTATCATTCTTGGGTGTGGCTCTATAATTCATTGTCAAGTGCGGATGTGTGTGCGAGAAAGAGAGCAGGCTGTCAAAAGTAACATCTGGAATTTTGATACGCAATCGGCACAAATCTACCGAAGCATAACCTCATTCGTCCAGGAGGTAAAGATGGTTACAGGGTATGTCGTCATTTTAGGCCAAAGCCATTGCCGGTCGCCAACATCGAACAATCAGCAGCGCATTATATCAGGATGAGGAAACTACCTCGTGTGGCTGAGCCGGTTTTACGTACCAGAATAAACCGGCCAAGCAAGGCCCGTGGTTTCTTTTGTCTTGGTGTGCCACCTTTAAGTGAATGGGCATATAAGCCGGTAAAGAAGTACATTGATGTTTCACATGGCTGGCAGCACGCGGTTAGCTGGTCGGTCGTGTGCGCTGTTTACTGGCTATGTATAATAGTATTACGTAGTGTGGTAAATACTGTAGCATATGTAGCAAGGAATACTTTACAGGAACGCTGATGTGATGGGGAAAAAACTTTAAGCGCAGTTGTACTGTTAAAGCTATAATTATAAAATAATAGTTGAAAAATAAAAGCTTCAAAAATTTTCAACCATTCTTGTTTTGCTCTTGCTACACTGTGC